GTACTCAGTTACTGACAGGAACAGGTACTCAGAGTTACTGACAGGAACAGGTACTCAGAGTTACTGACAGGAACAGGAAACAGTGTGCTGTCATACCAAAGCATTACTTAGAATTAATACAGTCAGCTAGTAAGCTTGACCTAAACAGGGTTTAAATTACAGCTTTATGGAAGTTTGAGACTTTATTTTGTCGTGTTTTTGTTAAACCAGCCTTGCAGGTAAGCTAATGTTGTAAAAATCTAATTAAACCCACAGTGAGAGAGGAGTATTTAAAATATGAAGGCAGTAGTTGTGTCCCTCTAAACATTTTTTTCTTACAGATCCTGCATCAAACACGGTCTGAACCTTAATCTTATAGTCTTATACCTGTTTACCCATAATGCACATGACCAGGGACGTCATTAGCAAGATAACATCAGGCCTTTTTGGACATGCTGTTTTTAAAATATAAGATAATTCTCATATTAGGCTCACGGTTTTGCAGAGAGAAGTTTCTGCATGAATTTGAACGAATTCTGGACCATTACCGGAGACAACGGGTCTAGTTTAAACGACCAGTTSTTAAAGGTTTACTGCACGTCTAAAAAGAACCTTCGTGTTATTTTGCTTTAACACATCCAAACAGTGTATTCACAGTTTAATAAGGTGAGAATAAAATGGTAATATCCGTGTGTTTATACTCGTAGTAGTCCTAACAGACAGAAACTGTAATAAAAGTGAGTAATACTAGTAAGAGACTATATTAATCTAAAGAAACATCTCATCACACGTTGATCCACCGAACCTACAGGGGGTTGGAGCGTCATATTTGTTGAAGGGTAAAAGCTTTGATGTGCAGTACCTAAAAAAATCTGTCACAAGTCACTGAGTCCTTGTTGACTCAAGTCCACCACAGTTGGAACCTTCAGAGACTGTTCAGGACCTTGCATATCATTGTTCTGTTGTGTCCAACAAACTAATCCACTGTGTGAGCTGAAATCCAGTTTTCACTACATTTTTCTACCAGGCAATGATTGCATGATCTACAAATACAAAAAAAGTATAAAAAAAGATGCATTACTCATGTGAGTTCTTTGTGGTCCATTCTTACCAGGTCTGTGTCGGTGCATACATCCAGCAAGGTGTGAATGGAAGGTGGAAGCTCTGATCGAACTGTTCAGAGGACATTTGGGAGAACGAGTCGATACCCGAGGTAACGGAGGTGCTGAGTTTTATTTTGAAGTCTTTCACGTGGACTGGATCCACTTCCCTACAACTCACTTTTGCCCCCAGACTTTTCAGTGTTGGTCGTGGCCTGGCTCTGCACCTCCTGCAGGCAGCCGGCCATCGGGCTGGGGGTGTAATTAAARGGCGTGACTCGGGCGGCCTTGCTCGGGGAACCTTGGCGGAAAGTGACGACTCCACTCACATGGCCATCGGACGTACCCGCGGCACCGTGGCTCCTCGGCGAGCCGTCTYACTCTGGATCCTGGAGGTTCCCCCCAGACGTGGAGCTAAACTTTTTCAGAAAAGCCAACCTGGTCGCTTCCTCTGAGACCACCGAAGCTGTTTCAGTCGTCGGAGAGGTGCTKGAGTTGGTCTTGTTGTTGGATACGTCTTCCGTCTGGACCGTTGCGTCACTYGTCTTGCGAGATGCCAGGAGAATGGTGGGCAGTTTTCCAGGAAGAGCAGGTAGCTTCGGRTTCTCTCCATCAGGAGAAGGCACCAGTGGCAGCGCGTTGGCGGGCAGAGTGCTCTTCAGGATCCGAGGTACGTCTTCGTCCCTGATCCTCCTCCAGGTAGCTCCTTTCTTTTTTGTGTCYTCCTCACTTTTAGCTCTTCCGCTTGAATCGGATGAAGACGAGCGCAGCGAAGAGCGGCTGGTCACTCGACTCAGTACATTTATGCTTGGTGATGAGGCATGGCGTTTAAAGGTGTCTTTGTCCTGTTGCTGCTTGACTCCAGAGATTCTGCTTGGCCCGTTTCGCTGGGCCGCCCTGCAGGGACTTTCAGAGCTGGTTCTTCTGGACTGCCGTCTTGCAATAATATCCCTTTCACTTGACGTTGCTCTGGATAGAGTTGCGGTCTGCTTTTGGAGTCCGGGGTTTGGCCTTGGGACTTGCTGTGCACGTCCGGACTCTTTTACTTGCAGCCGCTTCGGAGCCTGAGCTGCGGCCTTGAGCTCCTGACAGCGCGATGAGCAAAGGAAGACRGTTGAGGCTCCAGGAACTGCCCTGCGGGGGGATCCGTTTTGTGATCCCGAAGCATTGTGAGGTGAGCCGTCGCGTCTTCGACCTGTCTTTGATTCTTTAATAAATGTCAGCTGCCTCAAGAATCCGTTCCGATCTGAGTCACTGCTGCTGGAATGGACCGAGGTCATCCTGACCAGGTCAAACTGATTAGCTGGAGAGGCTCTTCTTCCATTTATCTGAGTACTTTGCCTGTTGGACATTTGGTTAGTCACCAGTGGAGACAGAGGTCTGGGTTGCCTGAGTGAAGTCTGCATGAAAGGAATCCMAACAGGTGACTTCTGAGTTTTAGGTGGTGGAGATTTATCGTTTTGATTGACAACAGGAGAGCGTCCTCGTCGTTCAGGGGGACTAGTAGCAGGGGAGCTGCTACTACTGGACGTGGAGGTCTTTTTCTGGATRGGTTTATTGGTCTGAGTAGGAGATGGTATTTTCTTCTGTGACTGCTTGGATGGCGTGGAACTCTGAGACGATCCAGAGGACGAGCTCTTTGTTATCCGTGGAGGTGGAGTAGAACTCCTCTTTGGAAGAGACAGTTCTGTGTCCTGGGGGTGGCCCAGTCTGTGAAGGCTCTTCGATCTGTGCTGAGCAAGGTTCGGGTTCTTAGGAGCATCTGTGTTGATCGGCACTTTTCTGGGAGGGGGTCTTTGTGACGGAGCCTCCTCTTTCTTCGGCGTATAGATCACCGTCCTGCCTCGGAACACTACRGGTAAGTTTGGAACAGGTTTCCGCTTCTCAAAGTCTAGAGGRTTATTTGCTTTTTTATCTTTAGCAAACTTCCTCTCTTTGGGTGTAAAGCTGGATGTTGACATGAACGACAGAACCGACTCCGTCTCTTCAGAAGATGGCTCTTGGGATTTCGATGCTTGCAGCCCAGTGACAACACAGTTAGCACCTTCCTGTATGGCTCTCCATTCAACACTGTTGAGGTCAGAGTCTTTGTCCCACCCCATATCGTCGCTGTCCATTTCTGTATATATGTCCCATCCGTCAGAGACTTTCTGTTTCTGAGCATTTTCTGCTTTCTTTTTTCTGGAAGCMATCTTCCGCCTCTGTTTGGGCATAGCAGACGTTATGCATTTTTGAAGGAGGTCATCCTCGGAGTCCATGCTGACTGAGCTCGGTGAGCTTTGCTCGTCATATTGGCAGTGAATMGTCACGGCCTTTGCTTGTTGTGCCATTGTCTTATTGTGTCTGTTCTTGTACCACGTTTGCTGGGCTTTCGATTTCTGATCCTCAAACTCGGCGTCACTAAGTGAACTCAGAGAGGAGCTTAACGAGTAACACGCCAGGGATTCATCCCTTATCAGATTTTGTTTGATTCTCTGAAACCCTCGGGGCTTTCCCTGGGAATTATCTATCCGGCCTATATTTGTCATGCTTCGAGACAGAGTATTCCTGCTCGCTTCCCTGATCTGTTTCCTGCTGGGGTGTTTYTGCAAACATTCACTTCTGTCCTCGTAGAAGCTGTTACTGTCCTCTGAAGAATTTGTCATTTGTCGATAGATTCTGTTTCCTTTGTGCGATCCAGAATTCATGTTACCATCTGTGTTTTTCTTTATGACGGGCAGCTCCAGTTTCCTGCAYGGACCCTGACCTTGTGGCCTCTTTTGCTGATTGGGAGACTGATCGCGATATTTGAGGTTGGCGACTCTGTCGGCCACCTCTTTGCTCTGCATGAGCACCTTCTGAGTGGGGATCACGTGTTTGGTCGTTTGGCTCATGTGGACCTCGGGCAGGTAGTTGGTCCTGTTTGGTTTGTGGAAGTGTGAAAATATCCTCAAGTCTTCMATTCTTTTTGCTTCGTTGTTTTTCACTTCCTTTCTGTTCAGGCCTTTAGCAGTGCAGTCTTTAGCCCCCCTGTCCCTCAGGGGATACTGAAGTGTTTCGTCGCTCAGRGATGTTGTGCTGGAGAAGATGACGGGCGTACCCTCTGCAGAATCTGTTAAGGAAGTATCGTCCAGTTTGAAGTCTTTTTGTGGATTTCTCCTCTTGTGACACCTTTGGGTTTTATCACTTGGAAGCATGGTGAACGGCAGAAGGATTTGTTTTCGGATTTGAGAACTGAGTATGTGATGGGGGATGCTGGTTGTTAAAGAGGATCTGACTTTTCTAAACTTTGAAGGCATGGCTGAGCTGATGCATTCCTTCAAAATTTCGATGTCGTCATCCGAGTTGCACTCGCTGCAGCGCTCCTCGTCGAAGCCTCGCTCATCTTCGTTGGGGAACGGCTGATTCTCATCGTTCTGCTGGAGCAGGGGGGTTAACTTCAGCTCCACGTCTTTCTGGATGTAGTGTTCATGAAGGGGCAGAGCGCTTAAGCTGGAGGCGCAAGAGAAGTTCTCAATGGGTTTTTCAACAGTGAAGTAGACGGTGTCCAGGTCAGGAGGAAGGTTAAACCTCTCTTTGGGATCCGCGATCTCCATCAGCTTCTGTAGACTGCTTTCCCACTGGCCTGCTATCCCTGTGATCTGCGTCTCTGGTACATTTGGCTCGACACAGCAGGGAGTTTTGCTCCGGCTAGGAGGCATGGTTTGTCCTGGGCTGTCTGGAAGATCGCTGGGGCTTACTGTTCCATCAATCATCTCACTGCACGGATCGCTTTGGATTGAACTGGCAATGGAGGGAGACTCAAAACTGCCCAGTGAGCTGACTGAGCTACATCGGCTCAACACCAGAGGCGTTTCGTGGATGTAGTTCTCCGAGGAGCTGGATGGAGATCTGTCTTCGATTATGGRAGGTGAAGCTCCTCTGAGGAACACCTTTTCCTTCTTGGCAGCACAGGTGACCTCATTGGGGTTCAGCTCTTTGCAGGGGAAGGTTTTTGAGTCTGTCATCAACAGCTGGCTGTCACTCAGATCCTCTAAGGTTTCATCCTCGTGCTCTCTCTTCACCAACTCGCCGTCCTCCACCTCGATTATTTCCAARGACGAGTCGCTCTCGAGCTCGTTTTCGCTTTGTCCGTCCAGCGCCCCATCGCCTGAGGACAGGGAGGACAGCGAGCTGCAGCGGGAGAAGCAGATTGGAGTGTTCTCCACGGAATATTTCTGGACTGTCTCCATTGTCCCAATGGTTGGACTTCTGGTGGAATTCATCGGGGGAAACTTTGTGATGCTACCCCCGGTCATGACCGTGGGAACCCACGCCTGCCGCCTCATCGCCTGAGCTGCTTGAACYTTGATGGTTGTCTTTGAAACGCCAAATTTGGCCACACTCTGAATGAGTGGGACCTGTTGGTAGGTGGGGGAAAGCTTAATTGATGTCATGCTGACATCAGAGGACACTTTTGTGGATACACTGACTGGTGTTTGCGCTGGTGGGTCTTGATTCTTTTCTGTGTCTGTGTTGAGCTCCACAGCTTTTACTTCTTTATTATTCACAGAATCTCTCTCTGGAATATCCTGTTGGTTAGTTTCATTCAGAAGCGCCGGGTCCACGTTGAGATAATCTTGATGAGCCACCTTTAGGTCCAGCTGGTTGGGTCGTTGCTGCGTCATTAGAGCTTTTGGAAACGTCTGGATCTGGTCTTTGCTGCCGCAGTAGCCGTCGCTCGTGCTGCCGCTGTTCAGGCTGTCTGTCGAAACACTGGCGTGGGTGTTTTTGAGGCGCAGGAGGGCGTGGACTCGGCTGAAGCGCTCCCTGTGGGCCAAACTGCCCGTGTCAGAGAAACGGCAGGGGGAACATGAATTTGCCCGGGCTTCGTTAAGCTCGTCTTGCCCATAAGCCCAGTCAGCCAGGTGGTCCTCGGAGCTGAGGCTCAGGCTGTCTTCAGAGGACGTGTGCATGGTGATGTCATCCACCAGCCTGTCAATCTTAGCAACCGTGTTGGTAATCTTTTTGGCGAGTGTCTCTGCGGCGGCGGAGACCACATCTTCAGGAGGAGGATGCTTCTTCTTGAGCACCTGAGGGGGATCCGTGTCTCGCTCGGGTTCGTTGTCCCTCTTTCGATGTTGATTTTGCAGGAGGTTAGAGTTGGTGAGAAACATAGAGAGCATGGAGAAGCTGCCAGTATCCAGGCTGCTGGAGTTATTGGGGGCCTCATCGTCATCAAAGCAGCCAGAATCAGAAGCGTAATCCTTCGCTAGACTCTCAATGTGCCTGAGGGGCTTGCTGAGGGTCAGGTGCTTGGGGCTTTGCTTCTCGAGGGTATCAAAGGTCTCCGCGAGGTGTTTGGCATCCAGCTCTGCCTCTAAAGCTCTCTGTTTCCTCATGTACAGGGAGGGCAAGCAGGAGCCTGGGGACACGACTGCGGTATCTTTGTACTTCAGGGGTCGGTTGGTCAGGAGGTTCCGTAGAGCCGCGGCGCTGCCCATGGCGATCATCTTGTGCTTGGAGTGGATCAGGTTGCGCAGCATGCTAACCGCCCCCAGGTCCCACAGCAGCTCCTGGTCTTTCGGGCTTCGGGCGGAAAGATTCCAGAGAGTCCCGCAGGCGTTGCTGACGATGGTCAGGCTGTGAGAGCGCAGGTGCTGCAGCAGGGTCTGAAGGCAGCTGTGGTCTCTGAGGATTTGCCTGTGTAGAAACAAAAACAGACACGTTTAAACAACAAGCCCCACCCATTTTATTGTTTTTTGCTCAATTAAACAAACAGAACATTGAACAACAGTCTGGTAATTTCATTTAACAATAACTTACAATCAAACTTTCAGTAATCAATAAGCTATATTTACAGAGTTGTGTGTTTCATTTTGAAATAGTCCATTTTTCCACTGTTTATCACACCTGCCTCCTTTCAATCTTAGGTTATTTCTTCCATTATTGAATTTACTCCACAATCCTGATCCAATCTTCTTGTTTAGGCCAGTCTGGTTTCAACCAACGTTTTATTGTTGCCTTTTTACTTGCAGCCAGGATTACCTTTGTCAGAAATACAGTATGTCTTCTTTCCTCACCGCATTCATTATATTCCCCAAATACATCACTAAGCAGGTATTTGGAATTGCGTATCCCAGAATTTTAGTCAATGTTGATCCTACTTGTTCCCAATATCTGGTTATTTTTGTGCAGCTCCAAAAAGTATGTGAATGATTGGCTTCTACTTCTCCACATAACCTCCAACGTTCTTTTATTGTAGAAGTCTGTTTACTTTTGATTTTAGGAGTTATGTCGAACCTTGTTAAATTTTTCCAACAAAATTCTCTCCACGWTAGTGAATTTGTTGTGCTTTGCTGTACTTCACACGTTTGAAACTATTCTTCYTCTGGTATGTTAATCCTCAGTTCTGTTTCCCATTTCTTTTTTAGATACATTGTTGTTTCCTCMCTACATTCCCCCAAAGAGTTATAAAAAGCTGAGATGATTTTTACTCCTTTTCGTAAATATGAATCTATCACTACTCCAATAATGCTGTAGTTTGTGTCTGTCAGCTTTGGTTAATTTGTTTGTGTAGTAATCTCTTATTTGTAGATATCTAAAGAAATCTCTGTCCTCTAAATCATATTTTAATTCAGGCTGAACGTCTGAACGACACATCTGCGTATGCGTGGAAAACCCACCGGTAGTCCTCCCGCGTGGAGATCAGACTCGACACGTTTCGGAGAATCCCTCCTCCGCTCTCGATGATGGCGAGTGAGTTGGTCTGACAGCGGTAGGTCAGGGTGCTGACGAGGAAACCCAAAGCGCCGTCGACGGAGCAGATCGCCACCTTGTTGTCGATGTTGTGTGCCGACAGGTTCCACAAAGCGCTCAGGATACTTTTCAGAGTTGATTCCTGCAGGAAGACGGACCTCTTTAGCACTAAATGACAGGTAAACTCGACGTGACGCGTTCCTGGRTGCAGGATTTAATGATTACCTTGGTTGCCTGCAGGGCACAGGTCATCAGTGCTGACACACAGCCGATGTCTCTCAGGACCCTCTTGGTACTGATGTCAGCCCTCCAGGACAGGTTCCTCAGGATGCTGGAGACCACCTGATGGAGCTCCTCGCTGTCCGAGGACAACTGGGCCACCAGAGCCTGCAGGCAGCTCTTCTTTGAGCACAGGGTGGCCTTCAGGACCAAGAGCAGGATGTAAATATGACGAACAGCTAACGAGTTTCAGATGCTAAATAACYCTAACGTCTCCGGTTTCACCTTGTTGACGACGTCCCCGAAGGTCAGGTTGGTCAGAGCCATCCCCGCGTAGCGGCGCAGAGCCATGTTGATGGGGTCGTTCTGCATCCCGTACATGTCCTGCTCTAGGTGGATCAGATCCGCCACCACCTGCAGACCACCTGAAGGGCAACGACAAACTCAGATAAATAAAAACAAACACGGCTCTGAATCTGTCAGAACGGTTGGAAACGATCAGGTCAGTCTTTAAACATGGCTGAAACTTGATACGTCTRGTTACACAAACCTAATTCGTTCATGGCTCGCCGGTACTCCTCCTCGAAGGACAGCTTCATGATGGCACACGTGGCCTGACAGATCTGAGGGTCCACAGGTTCAGGGATATCTGTGGGTTCATCAGAGGAGGGGAGAAATGGGTTAAATGTTAAATTACATCTGCAAAAACACAAGTTTTACTGAATCCAGACAGCTTACATCCAGGTCAGAATATAAGGTCAAACATTTTCTACCTGTTTAGACCAAACTTTTAAAAAAGGACCGTCCCAGGACATTTAACTGGTTCTCTTTAAACCATCAAAGTGTTGCTTCAACAAACCTTCATACAAGTCTTAAATCAAGTTTCTCTCTAATATTTCTCCATATTTTGCTCCGTTTATCTTTCCTTCAGCTCTMACCAGTTTCCTAATCTCTGCTGATAGAAACTAGAGCTGGGRGGTATGACCCAAATTTTATATCACGGTATTTTCAACATTTACACCGGCTTCACGGTATATCACGTTATTTTTCTTTTCATCACAGGTCAGCTGATAATAAAATGTACAAACAGTGCTTAGTGACCTTTTTTTAAACTGTACGCTGTTTCGCTGTTTCCCTGCTCTGTGTCTTTTCTCTGACTGGTGGTTGMAGACAGTAGTCACGCATTTTGGTCCGGTCGTGAAGGAGGAGGGTTGAGAAAAGATCATTATCGGGTCTATTGTTTCTGGTGTATATTACCAGGTTGTTAAGCATACTTTTGCATAAATAACCACTTGATTTAATAATTATTTCAGAGACAGATTATTCATTAAACTAGTTCCATAATCCTGTTTCTAAACTCACTGCTACAGCGGAGAAAATATTAATTAATGTGACACAATTTATCATATCCAATGACTTTAGGGGTGCCTTTTACTTTTATATTGTTTAGTGATTTATTTTTAATTGTAACAAGTCATTGTGCCAAATAATGATGGCCCTCAACTGCATGTTTAAAACTAATATTAATAATTTTACTGCCACCAACTGTTCAGGAGGATTATTACACCCCTAACGGTTGTTTCACTGTGGAAGGAGTGTGTACAGCAGGGTGGCCAAAGATTTGTCTGTGGTGGCCATGGCCACCCCCTGGCTCCGCCCCTGGTGTTGAGGCTATTTAAACCGGTATGTCGGTTTTCAGAAAACTCATTTCGTAACAAAAATACAAAATTGTATTCGGTACAAACCGGTATACCGTCCAGCAATAATAGAAACGTCCTCACAGCATGATGCAGCCACCACCGTGCTTCGCTGTGAAGATGAGATAATTCTGTCCTTGAAGGCCTAAAAAAATGTTATTTTTCTAAACATTTGTCCTGAAGAGCAGCAGGAAGAACTTGTCCAGGAAGATAAGCTCTGTGCATCAAAGGTTGGGTGTATTTTCCCACCACGCCGTCCTTAAAGAAGTCCTGCATTGTTCAGTTTTACAGTAGACTCACCTGATGTTTTGGTTCCTCCAGGTGAAGGTGTGGCAGCGTGGCTCTCGATCCAGTCCCAGCCGCTGTCGCAGTAGGTCCGGATCTGCTCCAGCATGTGCAGGACCCTCATCTCCCGGCGAGCCTGGCCCTCGTCCTGCTGGGAGTAGATGATGTTGTGCAGGGCGGCGCTCGCTCTGGACTTTGTCTCCCGGCTGCAGCCTGAYGAGACGCCTCCCGCCGCCGTCTCTCCGGCGCCTCCGGCGGGCGCCTCGTGCAGGATCTGAACCAGCAGGGGGACGCAGCCGGACTTCCTCATGGCGATGCAGCTGTCCTGGGAGCTGGACAGGGCTAGGAGGGTCCGGGACATCTCGTCCTTGTCTCGGTTGGCCAGCATGGACAGCAGCCAGAAGACCATCTCCACCTGAAAAGATGTATGGAGGACCAAAACTGACATAATTAGAAATAAAAATAGAAATATYTAAAAGAACCAATAAATATATTAATARATTTAAAATGTACCAATTAAATCAAAAAGGAGAACTTTACTTCATGTTTCATATTTTTTTCCAGCTTAGTTGCAAAAAATATACTTTAACCAATAATTTACATTTTACTGTTTTTATAAATACATTTTATTTTTCCTTTTACGTGTCTTAAGTGATTATATTTAACAATTTAAAAATATTTTTCCCACAAGTCTTTATTTATAGGTGTTGTTTTTACATTTCTTTGTCTCCTGTTTTTACTTTACCTTATYKATTTCTGCCTCACTAAGTAAATAAGGTGGGCGGAGCTTCTTGAGTCAGCTCCTCTCCTATTGGTCAACAGACAGGAAGCAGGATCCATGTATWGATCTACTGTGCTGCTGCTGCTTCCTCAGTTTAGCTTAAAGTTTAAAATTTAGTTTAAAATAAAGACGCAGGTCAGTGTTTTTCTTCTTGTTTTCTACCCGTCTGTTGACCAATAGGATATGGCAAGCCGTTGGGGCCATAAATCGGGCGTATATTTACGTGCAAATCCTAACGCGCGGTGACGTAAATAATGTGCGAACGCGCGGTGGCCCCACGTGCGGTGGCGTTACGCGCAAACGTGCGGTGGGTTAGGGTTAGGGTTAGGGTAGAAAACGCCACCGCACGGCACGTTATTTAATGCCACCGTGCGTGGCGCCACCGCGCGTTCCCACGTTATTTACGGCACCGCGCGTTCGGATTTGCACGTAAATATACGCCCGATTTATGACCCCAACGGCTTGCCATAATAGGAGAGAAGCTAACCCAAGAAGCTCCACCCACCTTATTTACATAATGAGGCAGAAATTCATAAGTAAAAACAGGAGACAGATAAATGTAAAAACAACACATGGAAATAAAAAGACTTGTGGGAAAAATTATTAAAAAATAATTAAATATAATCATTTAAGAGACACAGATGCATGTACAAGTAAAAGGAAAACCAAAAATATATATTTTTAAAGACAGTAAAATGTAAATTTTGTGCTAAAATATTTAATTTATTGGAACTAAGCTGGAAAATAAATATGATGATCATTTAAATGATAAAACATGAGGTAAAGTTCTCTTTTTTTAATTTAATTGGTGAACTTTAAGTGTGTTTTCCATTTATCTGATTTTATTTCTAATTATGACAGTTTCGGTGCTCCATATGCATGAAGGCAAAACTCTATATGTGATAATAAAGTAACATACCTGATTAAAGGTACATTCATGAGAATAATCTACATCTTTCAGTTCTGGGGTTGTTACCTTGCTGCCTCCGTCTGCAGCTTCTGTTCCTGCAGCTGCAGCCGAAGACGAGCTGCTGTTCTCCGGTTCTCCTGCAGGGGGCCTCTCAGCTCCGGACAGCTGCACACACAGGGAGAGAAGATGAGGCTTTGACCCAGTTCTGCTGGTCTCTGCAGCTGASGAGGCTCCTCAGACTGAAGGGGGACCATGTCTGCAGAGCTTTATGTAGTTTTACTGTTATTTATTATCAACCTCTGCTCATCCTGACTCGTTTCACCAGATTTCCAGCCTCTAAACCTGAATGTTTAAAAAAATCTGAGCGCAGACGTCGATAAATCTGTCCTACGACCCGTCTCACTGAGGACGGGACAAACCCAGACCCAGTCCTGGCCCTGACAGACAGGAACACAACCAGCTTCATTTAGATTCACAGGCTGAAATCCTCCGAGGCTCGTATCAAAGGCCCCGCCTCTATCCCGTCGTCGCCATGGCAACGCCTCGGGGTGTGATGTGTGAGGAGATGGAGACGCTGCAGACAAAGAGCCGAGCTGTTTGTGTGTCTCGCTCCCGTTCYACAAAGACAAGTTGAAGMTTTTTTTTTTRRTTTTRGTTAGTTGRCGTCCCGTCGGACCCTGTTGGAATCTGTGGATCCGATCCAAAAACCTCCTCCATTAAAAAAACAGCAGCAACAACGAGCCCACAAAATGGATGCCGCGTGAGCCGAGCCCCCCAATCTGCAGSGACAGAGGACGTCCACCTCTGCAGAGATAAATCTGTAAAATCCACAGCTTTGAACCATGTTGCTGTTTCTGACAGGAGATGAGAGCAGGTCAGAGCTGCAGGTCACAGAGAGGAGAGAGGTTTTTATTCTCACAGCCTGGATGACGTCCAGAGCTGCAGCGCTCGGCCTCAGAGGGACCGACTGGCAGCTGAAACCAGGCTGAGAGCTTAGAGACCACRGAGACGGGTTTACAGCTGAGGACGAAACGTCTGAGAGTCTGAAGAAGTAAAAGTTACAAATGTCCTGATGCGTCTCAGTAATCCAGGTAGAAAAAAATCAAAATCAGTAGGTCCTCTGGATGGTMCTTCTTTAGTGAAACGAGAYACGAAACTTTTCACTAAAGAACCCATCCAGAGGACCTACTGATTTTTTTCTTTTTGATAAAAGTTACAAACTGAAAATAAAACATTCAACATGATCATGTGACAGGAAAACAAACACAACCCCACCCCACCCCACTTCAATCTGAGACTTTTTTATAAACAGCTGAAGTTAACCTGCTGTCGTTATGCTTCTGAGCCGCCATCACGTCACAGAACATTGTTTTATTTCTTTTGTTTCAGATCTGGCAACGCAGGTTTGGTGGGTTATCTGTGTTTATAGGAGGAAGGAGGAACTAAGTATTTATTTTTCCCAGGATGTCCAAGAAACGAACCAATCCAACCAAGTCAGTGAGTATCCAGAGGTGTTAATATCACGACTTTCGACTCGAAAAATTGTCCAGATTTTTGACTTGATTTAGACTTTTACACCAATGACCTGGACACGACTGTTTACTCGAAAAGACTTTAGATTTTTACCCAAAATGTAAAGTTTAAAACACATTATTTATAAAGTCATAGTTCTGTATTAAGAAGACCATCCATCTTTTTAACACACTCTACGTGTGTGTGTGTGTTCTTGTTTTTGCTACTTGGTGGGGACGATATATCAGGAAAATGCAGCCTCGAGTTCAGAGGCTAATTTTGGGTTGGGGGTTTGGGTTTAGGACCAAGGTGTGAATTAAGACTAGGTTAGTCTTATGGTCAGGTACCTGTGAGGTTCATTTCAGGGTAAATGGTCAGGGGTAGGATATAAAATTTCCAAAAAATGAACGTAAGTAGGGATGCACCGATATAAAAATTTCAGCCGATATCGATATCCGATATAATTATTGCTGTCGCGGCCGATAACCGATTTTTACCGATAATACACAAACARACAAATTATATTATACATATACACACAAACACACTTGGGTCTTTTTTTGATACCATAAATAAACAACCAGACCTCTGACATGGCTCCCTACTTCAGTTATTCCTGGCTGCGCAGCATCAATATCACTAAAATTATCAAACAGATAAAACTCGACCAAACATCTCCCCTCCCAAAACACAAACACAAAGATAAAAAGGGGAAAATCAATATCGGACTTTAATATCGGCCCGGTTTTACATATTGGACCGATACGACATTCTTAAAAATATCTGCCYATACCGACACTGATGCCGATATATCGTGCATCCCTAAATGGAAGTCAATGGAAAGCCCCCACAAGGATAGAGAGCCATAGCAGGTGTGTGTGTCTGTTGGGGGGGTTGGCTTTGGTGGCATTTGGGGGCAATTTTAAGACAAAAAATCCTACATTTGGGGACAAAAGTCGAGTCCCCGTTTGGTTTAAAACCATTGGTGGGTTGGGGGTTGGGTTTAGGACCAAGGTGTGAATTGAGTTTAGGTTAGCTTTAGGGTCAGGTAGGTACCTGTGAGGTTAGTTTTAGGCTCAGGTACCTGTGAGGTTAGCCTTAGGGTCAGGTACCTGTGAGGTTAGCCTTAGGGTCAGGTAGGTACCTGTGAGGTTAGCCTTAGGGTCAGGTACCTGTGAGAATAGCCTTAGGGTCAGGTAGGTACCTGTGAGGTTAGCTTTAGGGTCAGGTAGGTACCTGTGAGGTTAGCTTTAGGGTCAGGTACCTGTGAGGTTAGCTTTAGGC